ACCAGTGTCTCCATAGTTAAATGAGTCAAGTGAGTTGGTTAAGTGAGTCGCACCTGATTTTATGACTTTTGCAATGGTTGTTAAGTCAATCACTACAGTACAGAACTGAATAATCTGGGTTTTCTACTCGTTGCTAATGAACAATAACATATTGTTTTATTTATCTGCATCCCTTTATTACTTTTACTAATAGCTCAAGGCAGTGAACTTCACTTTCCTCCTCCTATTTTCCCCACAACAACAACCTGGGAGGTGGGTTGGGCTGAGAAAGAGTGACTGGCCGAAGTCACCCAGGCAACTTTCATGCCTAAAGCGGGACTAGAACTCACCATCTCCCACTTTCTGGCCTGGTGCCTTACCCACTAAAGTGGCTCTAATATTGGCTTTAAATCTTCCCAAGAATCTAATCCCGTGCACCAATATCCAAAGATGCGCCCATGAATTAACTTCTCATTCGTCATCTGTTTCAGGATCTCGTAAGAGTAGAAGCACTGGGAGAGGCCTGGCTTCATGTCATGATTAGTGGGGTGGAGGTCAAAACGTGAAGAACCGTTACAGCAACTGGGTATGTCCAGTCTGGTGAAAAGAAGGACGAGGGGAGACATGACAGCAGTGTTCCAATATCTGAGAGGCTGCCACGAAAAAGATGGGGGGGGGTCAACCTATTTTTCAAAAGACCGGAAGGCAAGACACAAAGCAACGGATGGAAACTAACCAAGGAGAGAAGCAGGAACTTCCTGACAGTGAGAACCAGTGGAATTAACCAGTGGAACGGCCTGCCTTCAGAGGTTATGGCTCTTCTATCACCAGAGGCTTTCAAGAAGAGACCGGACAGCCACTTGTCTGCAATGGTCTAGGATCTCCTGCTTGGGGAGGGGTTGGACTAGAAGACCTCCAAGGTCCCTTCCAACTCTGTTATTCTGTTAGGTTGCTTGCTCTGAATTAACTCAGAGGAAGGTTCTCCTCTTTGTTACACCCTGCTAGGGATTGCACAAGCCATTAGATGAGATTCAAATACGGCTCGATAGTTTGTGGTTCAAAGGTTAGTGGAAAGCCATCCGGGAATATTATGTAAACCAGCGCATCCCATTAATCCATTTTCTTGTCTATTTTTGGGGACGTAGTATATTATGCCATTGTGTTTTGTTAACCTAAACTTATGAGTTAAGTATCTTGTGTGAACTTGATTGTTATGGTTTTTAAAATATGATTTAAAGATTATTGTGTTGTCCATATCCAAAGCCAATCACCCTTCAAGAAACTAATGATTGTGTGATGTGAGCATGAGAGGCGTGTATGATCTGAATTCATTTGACTCACTAAATCATAATAGTCCCTTTAGAGCACAGAGGCGACACACAGAGACACAACAGGCAAACCCTTTCTTGGACGAACAGCAACTCCTGCAAAAGGGGAGCATAATGTGCAATTCCGGGTCAGACTCAGAAAGTCATGGGAACTCAACCAACTGTGGCTTGTGCATTAAAGATGAATTAAATAACCAAGATTTATTGGATGTGCACTTTGTTTTCTACATGATCATTTTTCTAGAGGGATAAGACGTTCTTTTTTATAATCAAACAGAAAGTTAGAGAAAACCTATTTTTAATTAAACGCATGCCTGCTTCGAAAAAGACGGTGTCTGAAATAATTTGCTTTTGATAATATGACAAAGATGACCTGCAGAGATCCTGGCCCTTTCCAGTAAGGAGATTCCCAGGAACGTAGTATCTTCTTAAGCACAACAAGCGTTTACTTAGGCTGCAAGTTCTCAGCATTTACATGAGAGTAAGTTCTGCTGAACACAACAGGAACTATTCTGCCTAAACATGCAAATGTTTTGTGTGATTAAAATATTTGCATTCTGGTTTTCAAGTCTCTACTAGGACAAACCCATGTCCTGAGATGATTCTGAATCTTTACATAAGCAAAAGCAATAATAATTTATTACTGTCAATGATAAACAACCAAAATATTTTTTTTAAACTGTAACATTGGCATAGATTAAATAATAAAGATTTCTCTATGTCGAGTTCAACTCGTGTAGAAACAGGGATACCTTTCTCTTAGTGACAGGAATGAAGTGGTTTGCCACAGTTTCCCACATTCCCATGGCCCCAAAATTCCCAAGTGGCCCCTACCCAAATTCTAACTCACGCTGATCCTGCCTACTGTTTGATATTCACAAATTAAAACCATTTTTAATTAGTATTTAAAAACTAATGGAACTTCTGGCTTCCTTGCAGTATAAAGTGCCAGAAATTATGCACCACATGCAAGATAATTGCTTGTGGTGGCTGATCACGAGGACAGGGGGTTGGCGGAGGGAATAGATCAAAACGTATCCAGAAAGGCCAAGTTAGCAAAAAATGCACTAGACCAGCAGGCTTCCAAACTTGGTAACTTTAAGACTTGTGGACTTCAATTCCCAGAATTCCCTGGCCAGCATGTTGCTGAGGTTTAGAAGCACCGGCCTGAATTGTAGAAAGACACTTCCTTGGAGCTCAGAGGTGCCATGTAGAGGAGAGGCCTCCCCCACCCCCACCGTAATACAGGTAGTCCTTGAGTTAGGACCACAATTAAGCCCAACATTTCTGTTGCTAAGTGAGACATTGGTTAAGTGAATTTTGCCCCGTTTTACAACCTTTCTTGCCACAGTTGTTAAGTGAATCGTTGCAGTTGTTAGTAACAAGGTTGTTAGTTGAATGGTTAAAGTCCCTACTGACTTTGCTCATCAGAGATCACAAAATCATATGACCCCGTATGACCCTGCAACTGTCGTAACTAAGAACCAGTTGCCAAGCATCCAAATTCGGACCATGGGGGGGGATGCTGCAAGAGTTGTAAGTGTTGAAAACGGTCCTAAGTGACCTTGTTCGGTGCCTTGTAACTTGGAATGGTCACTAAATGAACTGCTGTAAGTCGAGGACTACTGCCTGGACTGTACACCTAATAATACTCCCCACTGGCAACAGCACAATTCTAACCATTGGACAACGCCACGATTCTAAACAAAGCCCAAGCGACTCTCTGCCCCTCGGAAGAAAAAGGCCACCTGCAGACGACCCAGTCGAGTTCCAGGCTGGCGCCCTTCCGGGGCTCTCGGCCGCCGGCAGAAGTCAACCGGGCGAGTGGCGGCAGCCGGGGCTTGCAGCCAGGACCAAGCCCGGCTCGACGAGGCTCCTGCCGTCCCTTCGGAGCAAAGAGGCCACGCGCAGAGGCCCGACGGGCAGCCCTTCGCTGGCCGAGCAGCAGCGCCGCTTCCAAAGCAACTTGCAAAAGGGAAGCGGCGACCGAGCCAGCCGGCCCCGCGCCTTTCCCCCACGGACGCCCAGCTGGGAAGGGAGCCCAACCGGCCGCTTTCCTGGACCCAAGGACGCCCCGCTTCCCCGGCCGACTGAGCGAGCCGAGTCCCCTCGCCGCCCCCGGCCCGGCCAGCTCCAGCCCGGCTCCCTCCGGTTACCTGCTCGGCGAAGCGTGGTGCGGGCGCAGCGCCTCCGCCGCGCGCCGTCCGGCAAGGCGGCTTTCGGGCAAGCCAGGCGCCGGCTGGTCCCTCGCTGCGGGGCGGGCAGGCGGCTCGAGCGGCGCCCCGGTTGCGGCCGCCCGGTTTCCTCTCCGGCGCGCCGCGACTTTCCGGCTGGCCGAACTCCGGCGCTGCAGCAGCCTGGGAACTTCTCCCCGGGCGAAGAAAGTTGCGCGCCTCTCTCGCTCTCCAGCCTTTGGCCGCCGCCGCCGCCGCCGCCGCTACCGCTGCTGCTTCCCCGCTGGGTCCCTTGCGCGGCGCGGCGTGGCGCGCACCCGCATCCCCACGCCCGCCGCGCTGGTTCCGGCCCGGGGTGACGCGCGCCTGGCTGGGAGTTGCGGGAGCCCCGGGAAGGCGGGCGGGGGCGGCGGCGGAGCCGGAGGAGGAAGCGAGGCGCAATTGCTGGCGAGCGAAGGGGAGGCGGGCCGCGCGCACCTGTGAAGGGGAAGCATCACAGAGGATCCGAGTTGGAAGGGACCTTGTCCAGGGGTCTCCAGCCTTGGCAACTTTAAGCCTGGAGGACTTCAACTCCCAGAATTCCCCAGCCAGCAAAGGGAATTCTGGGAGTCCTCCAGGCTTAAAGTTGCCAAGGCTGGAGACCCCTGATTTCTAGTCTAACCCGCTGCCCAAGCAGGAGACCCTAGACCATTTCTGACAAATGGCAGTTCAGTCTCGAGTGATGAAGCTCCCACAACTTCCAAAGGCAACTTCTTCCATTGGTTAGTTGCTCTCACTTATCAGAAAGTTCTCACTGTTGAAGAGAAATATGGGCGGGGGGGGGGGGGGGGGGGGGGGGGGGGAATAAATTAGGGAAGGTTTATAAGTGTTCCCAAGGAAGTATGATATTCAATTGAAAAGAAATGTTAAAGTTGTTAAGAATTTAATGACTATTAATGATAGAATTGAATTGGAATGGAATGATTGCTTTATTTACGTATATATATATATATATAAAATCTTTTCTTTAAGAATATAGTGTGTGTTTTAAGAATGTACCAAGAAGAATTCGATGGGAAGTTATGTATTATATTGAATGTTATAATCTTAAGGTATACATTGAAGCTTTAAATAAGAGTTGAATGGATAAAATTAAAAGATCTAAAGGTATCATACTCCAATTAGTAACTGCAGGGGAAAATTTGTTTAATGAGAAAAGATAGTATGAAATTGAAACAGGACAGACAAAAGTATAAATATAATGATTTGAATTGAGATGAGATAATCAAAATAAAGTTGAGAAAATTACAAGAGTTGAGAAAATTACAAGAGGGGAAAAGCTATGTAGAAAATGTAAAACAGTAATAAGATATGGAATAGAACACAAAAATGATCATGAAATTGAGTTTGTGTCTGTATGAAGAAGTGATAACCCGGGACCATGCTATTTTCAAAAAAAGATGTTTTATTTGTATTATGGTTTTTTTGTGAAAACCCAAATAATTGTGTTTTTTTTAAAAAAGAAAGTTCTCACTGTTACCTCGGAGGGTGGCGAAGGGGGAGGTGGTTCTCTTGAGAGCGCAGCCAGTCAAGGAGGCCGATGCCAGGTGGTTCTGCGAGCCTTCGCCCCCCCGCCCACCCTCTCCTCTCCTGAGCCTTAGGATCGGCGGTCTAGAGCTGCCCTCCTCGCACAGGAGAAGAGAAGGCAGCAGGATCGCGACTCCTTTCCAATGGCTGAAGCCTTCATCGCAGTCCTAAAAACTTCAGAAAGTTTCCGACTGAGGCTGGCTCAAAACATGGTTACCTGCTTACCTAATTAAACTCCTTTTCTGGCCTGGCTCCCTAGCCGAAAAAAAGAAAACTAAACAGTGTTACAAAAGTAGCCAAATTTATCAGGGAGAGCAAACATTACACTGGATTTATGACAACTGAGCCCCGAATTTCTGTTGCTAAGCAAGATGGCTGTTAAGTGAGTTTTGTCCCATTTTGCAAGCTTTCTTACCACAGTAAGTCAGTCACTGCAGTTCTTAGTAACACAGTTGTTAATCTGTGAACCTGGCTTCCCCAGGTGACTTTGCTTGTCAGCTGGTTGCCAAAGGGGATCATATGACCCCAGGACACTGTGACCGTCAGAAGTATGAATCAGTTGCCAAGCATCTGAATTTTGATCGCGTGACCATAGAGCCACGGCAACGGCTGTATGAAAACCAAGCATAAATCACCTTTTTCAGTGCTATTGTAAGGTCACAGTCACTGAATGAATGGACCACCTGTACCAGAAATTAACACAAATCTTCCCCTACTGTATTTATTGTGTAAATTACAAATGTTGAAGTCTACTCATCTTAAGGTTGTCACCGCTGACTTGGATTAATAGGGAGCTCACATAAGAAAGGTACCATTGCAGCAAATTAATTCAAGCCCTCAAGGGCACATCAGAACGGACGCTCTTCTCCGTCCCCATTCTGAGTTCATGAGTTCTCTCAGATGTCAATTCCACATGCTGTGCAATCTTTCTCCAAGGTCATCATTAAGTGGAGCTCAACCAGAGGACTTTCACCTACCTCTTGTGTGTGTGTGTCGGATACATGACCAACCTTCCAGGAGGGATGATAGAGCAAATTCTCCTTCCCGTTATAAGGGGCTTCTGGGTGGGAAGAATACAGAACACAGAATCATAGGGCTAGAAGGGACTTCAGAGGTCTTCTAATCCAATCCCCCTGCCCATGGCAGGAGATCCTACACCTTAATAATAATCGATAATCAAAGTTGGAAGGGACCTTGTAGGTCATCTAGTCCAACCCCCCACCCAAGCGGGAGACCCTACACTATTTCTGAAAAATGGCAGTCCAATCTCTTCTTGAAAGTCTCAAGTGATGAAGTTCCCACAACTTCTGAGGGCAGCTTCTGTTCCATTGGTTGATTGTTCTCACTGTCAGAAAGTTTCTCCTTATTTCCAGGTTAAATCTCTCCTCCATCCATTATTCCTTGTCTGGCCTAGCTTGACCCCTTCCTCCTCTCTGGGGCAGCCCCTCAAATATTGGAAGACCGCTATCATGTCTCCCCTGGTCCTTCTCTTCCCTAGACTAGCCAAGCCCAGTTCCTATAACCATTCTTCGTATGTTTTAGTCTCCAGTCCCCTAATCATCCTGGTTGCTTTTCTCTGTACTTTTTCTAGAGCCTCAACATCTTTTTTATAATGTGGTGAACAAAACTGGATGCAGTACTCTGGATGTGGTCTTACTAAGGCTTTATAGAGTGATATTAGTACCTCCTTTGATCTCGATTGAATCCCTCTGTTAACACAACTTAGGATTGCATTAGCTTTTTTGGTGGCTGCTGCACACTGCTGGCTCCTATTTAGCTGGTTGTCCACTAAGACTCCAAGATCCCTCTCACAGTTACTGCTATTGAGCCTGGTTTCACCCAGTCTATATGTGTCTTCCTGGTTTTTCTTGCCTAAGTGTAGGACTTTACTTTTCTCCATATTGAATTTCATTTTATTAGATATGGCCCAGTGTAGAACACTGTCAAGATCCATCTGGATCTTGAGCCTATCTTCTTGGGTGTTAGCTATTCTTGCCTGCTTAGTATCATCTGCATATTTGGTAAGTTCCCCTTCTATTCCCTCATCTAAGTCGTTAATGAAGATATTGAAGAGTACTGGGCCTAAGAAGGAACCTTGTGGCACCCCACCTTAGAATAGAATACAGCTGGAAGGGACCTTAGAAGTCATCTAGTCCAACCTGCTGCTCAGGTAGGGGACCCTATACAATTTCAAACAAGTGGCTCTCCAATCTCTTCATAAAAACCTCCAGTGATGAAGCACCCACAACTTCTAAAGGCAACCTGTTCTACTGGTTAATTGTTCTGTCAGAAAATTTCTCCTTAGTTCTAGAAGGTTGCATCTCTTATCTCTCCTTGATATGTTTTCCTCCCTTGTTTCTTGTCCTGCCCTCTGCTGTTTCCCTTTCCATTCTGGACTTTCTTTGGGCTTGATGGCCAAAAAGGTCCTATCATGTCATGAATGCAGATTCCAGATGGAACATGCTCTAGTTTAGGTTTTGTGATGCTTTATTTAATTCTTTGCTGGATTCATAGCCCATCTTTCATTCAGGACTTTGAAGTTGTAAATATAGTGCTTCCTGTTTTGTTTTTCCTCACAACAGCTAAGTGTGGATGGAGAGAGAACAAGTAAACTAAGGAATGGGGGTGGGGAGGAACGGTTGCTGAGGCTGAGTTTAAATCGGAGCCACCTTGGTATTACACTTTTAAACCTACTAAGTTGCTGCAAAGATAGCATAATATCGATCTAGCGTGGTTTTCAATATTGCAAGGGAACAATCGATAAAACCCCTGAAGCCTTGTCTTAGTCAGTTTTCTTATTACAACAGAATTATGTAAATTGAGGAGAGGGATTTGGGTCATCTTTGGCTTTGGAATGATGTGCTGGGAAGATGCCCACCCCTGAAAAAAAAAAAAAAGCTGAAAACATCAGGGAGGGGGGGAAAGGTGGTTGAAACAAAATAATCTTGCATGGGACAGAATGAAAAATAATAAGACTTCAGTGGCAACATTTAATACCAAAGGTTTTAGGGAGTTGAAATTGTGCACACCTGTGTACCCCTACCTGACATTTATATGCAAATCACTGGTGCTTCTTTTGCTGGAGGAGACCCATGCAGCATAAGTTGTATTTCCTGGCTGTTGTGGTATTTCCCCATCCTTACATCTACTTTGAAATCATCAGTATCTATCCACAGTCATCCCTTAATGTTAGGAAAGGTGTATGCTGCTTTCCTGGGGGATAGGTGTTGCCAGGTTTAGTTTCCATCAGTCACACCTCCAAAGTCACCTGCTGGACCCATGTGCTAGTAGCTGAGAGAGATGCTTTGAACACACAGACACACACAGTGTGTGTTTCCAAGCTAAGTTTGGAAAAGATTTCCAGAAGATAGTTGTGAGTTCTTGACACATCCCTAGCCTCTAATACAGGGCTATCAAACCCATGGCCTGTGGGCCGGATGCATCATGTGCTGGTCCCACCCCCCCACAGCTTAGCAAAGTCCCTATATGTCACCTGACGACACGAGTTTGACATCCCTGCTCTAATATATCATTGAAACCAACGTATTTCAAACTTGACAAATTTAAGATGTGTGGATTTCAACTCCCACACTTCCCCAGCTGGCATGAATTCTGGGAGCTGAACCCTGTAAAGCGGGCGGGATGAAGAATTCTGGGGAATGAAGTTCACACATCTTAAAGTTGTCAAGTTTAAAGAACAAACCATTCAAGCTCATCTCTACTATGTACGGAATTAAGATCCATCAATCAGTATTAGTCATCTGGTGTTGGGTGGGACTGAATCAAATCAGATATACAACAGTTACCATGGCACTGACAAAAGTGACTTATGACCATTTTTCACACTTAAGACCACTGCAGTGCTGCACCATGGTCACATGATCAAAGTTCAAATTCTTGGCAACTGACTCATTTTTATGTCCTGGGTCATGTGATCATCATCTTTTGCAAGCAGAGTCAAAGGGGAAGCCCGATTCCCTTAACAACCTTGTTACTAACTTAAAAACTGCCACGATTCATTTAAGAACTGTAGCAAGAAAGGTCATAAAACGGGGCAAAATTCACTTAACAAATATCTCAGCAACATAAATTTTGGCCTGAATTGTGGTCTAAATCAAGGATTACCTATAATGAATAAATCATCTTGGAACAATCCTTCATGATCAGATCAAGCACATTGGAGAAAACGAACGCCTCGTTCTGATTCGCCTCCATCAAACAGCCCTGGGCATTGGATGCAAACCCCATTTCTTTCAACAACCAAGGAGAAGGATTAAGCTGCTCCTCACTCACACCCATGTTTCCCTTGGCAGCTCTGTTTTACCCAAAGGTTGACTGGAGTTTCTCGTTTGAACAGCGAGCCTTAGGACTCGGGAAGCAGTGGTGGGTTTGTGATGATGTATTCAAGTGACTCTTCCAATTATTAGTAAGTACCTACTGTTGAAATTTTAAAATAACACTTTAAAAATAAAGTCTCCTTCCAGTCGAACTCAATTCCCAGTAATCCCACAGCCAACAATCTTGGCAGCAATGTAGAAACATAGATGGTCCTTGAATTTCTGTTGCTTAGAAAGATGGTTGTTAAGCACCCCATTTTTTGACAGTGGTTAAATAAATCACTGTGGTTCTCAAGTCCATCCCACAGCTGTTAAGCAAATCTAGTTTCCCCCCATTGACTCTGCTTGTCGGAAGCCAGCTGGGCAGGTTGCAAAGGGTGATCATGGGCACATTGCAACCATCATAGATACAAGCTGGTTGCCAAGCACCCAAATTGTGACCCCATGTCTGTGGAGATGCTGTGATAGTTGTTAAGGGTCAATGATGCTTTTTTTCAATGATGTTGCTACTTCAAATGGTGACTAAACAAATGGTTGTAAATTGTAAGTTAAGGACTACCTGAAGTTTACTATGCTTTCTGGCATACTCTCCCAGTTTCTCAGTGTGAAATTTCAAATCTCCAAGCAGAACAAGAAGCAATGGATGGAAACTAACCAAGGAGAAAAACCAAGGTAGAATTAAGAGAAATTAGGTCCTGATAGTGGAATTAATCAATCAATCAGCAGAACCATTTGCCTCAAGAAGTTGTGGGTGCTCCAACACCAGAGATTTTTAAGAAGAGATGGATACTCATGTGTCTGAAATGGTATAGGCTTTCTTGTTGAGCAGGTGGTTGGACTAGA